TCCCACTTCCTCAGAGCCGGCCCAGGCCTGGCGGGACGGGCGAGTCCCCCGGCTGACCTCACCCTCCTTCCTCCAGAGGAAGTGGCCGCTACAGGATGGGCCGAAGGCGCTTGGGAAACGGGGCTGCTACCTGGACCCAGCGACCCTTCGGCCCCGGGGCAGGCGGGGCGGGCGGGGCAGGCGGGGCAGGCGGGGCGGGGGCTTAGGCTGAGGGAGGCCGCTTCTGGGTGGGCCGGTGGGTGTGCTGGCGTGAGCAAGGAGGGGACCAGGACCCCCTCCCAGCCCCCAGCAGGTAGGGAGACAGGACAGATCCCTGGGAGGGCTTAGGCTGCCCCCTCTCCGCCTGCCCCTCGCCTCTCCCTCCTCCCTCCAGCTGCAAGCCTGGACAATTCCTTGGTGCCCGGGCTCCCCCCTCCTGGCTCGGTGCCGGCACCTCCTGCCCTCCTGCCCCTCCAGCTCTGGCTCCTGCAGTTACAGGGCCCTGGGGACTGCCCTGCCCCCGGAGGGCCCTGGAGCCGGCCCCGAGGGGGAGGGCCTTTCCTCCCTCCTCCTGGGACCAGGGTGCTCCCTGCGACCTCAGACCTGTGTCCCAGCCCCCCCAGCCCAGCTGATGGTCGCGCTCGGGGGCGGGAGCCACAGGCTGGGCCGCGGGAACCTCCCGGCTGCCCCTGCCAGCGCCCCAGCCTCCCGCCGATCGGGGCGGGCGGGGGTCTGGGCCTGACGCGGGAGGCGGGCAGTCGGCAGGGATAAAGCCAGGCTGGGGGCGCGGCGCCGAGGGACTCCAGGACTGGGACTCGGGTGAGTGGCGGAGGCTTCCGGCGGGCTCAGGGCCCCGGATGGGGGGGCCGGGGTGTGGAAGGGGATGGCCAGAGGCCTGGGAGTCGCCACCCCGGGGCAGACCTCAAGAGCAGCAGGGCCGGGACCCAGGCCTTCCTGCTGAGCCTGCGGGGGGCGAGGAGCCTGGTGGGCCCGCAGCGTCCGGCCTCGTGGGACAGGAGGGGGTCGCAGGGCAGCGGGGACCGGCCTGGCTTTCGGCCCTGGGGCCCGCGTCCTTCTTGCTGAATGCGGGCGGTCAGGTGAAGAGTCAGCGGGCCACAGCTCTCTTGGGGAGTGGAGTCAGGGCTTGTGAATGAGGGCTCCAGGATGGCCTGCGGGGGCTGGCCCAGGTCACCCCGTTATCCTGCGTCCTCGGTGGTGCTGGGGGCAGGGGCTGCTGCCACACGTGGTCCACGGTGGCTTGGCCACTAGTCGAGACGGATTCAGCCACACCCTCTCCTGCCCAGTGCAAACCTGTGACCCATTCAGCACCCTGTGGGGTCGTGTAACCTGTCCCCCCTCAGGGACACAGACACCCCCCGCCCCCATATGAAGGAGCTTCTAATCTGTTCGACCCAACAACCTTCACCTAAAAGCAGGCCACGCCGCTCAGGTGGCTGTGAGCGCAGCTCAGATGGGCACTAGCTGTCAGGGGGCTCACTCCCCCCGCGGGGCCCCGGTATCCAAGCCAGAGGCCAGCGCCTCCTCCTGCCGGGTTCCGGCCGTGGGCGCGGGGAGCCTGGGCTCCCCCTCCTGCCCAGCAGTGCTGGTGGCTGACGCACGTGAGTGAGGTGGGTGCGGCGGGCAGGCACGTGGTGGCCGGTCGGCACCACGGCCCTCGGTCACCACGGAAGCCCCACGCGTGGCGAGGGGCGGCGCTGGGGGTCGGCTGTAAGCTCGGGAGCGCCTTCTCCACCTCGAGATCCCGGCGGGTAGAACGGTGCCAGGCCCCAGCTTCCTACAGCTCGGCCTCGGGGCCACAGCGGGGTGCCGGGACCAGCGAGGGGGGCCGCCTCCCGAGTGTCTCCACCTGCCCAAGAGAGCAGGCAGGCCCCGATGGTGCCGTTCCGGGTCTCAGGAGCAGCCTGTCTCTCCCCTGGCCACCTCCTCCAGGAAGCCTATCCTGATTGCCTGATCCACCCACTGGGCCTCTGCAGCGCCTGCCTGGTCCCTCTCCGGCAGGGAGCTCTGGGAGGCGCTGGAGGGAGGGGCTGATGACTTGGGGAGCTGCCCGAAGGCGGGAGGCACTGCCAAGGAGCGGCGAGCGAGCCGGGGGGTGCACGGGGGATTAGACGGCGTAGGTGACCTCTGAGGTTCCTCTGGACCTTGGGGCTGAGATCCCGTGACGGGCTTGGACATCTCCCAGATCTGGACCTCTGCCCAGGACGCCGGGTCACTTGTCCACAACAAGTGGGGGCCCTCCTGCTGCCAGCTCTGCGTGGTCGGGTGGGGGGGGGGTTTGACAACCTCTAGGTCCGCCTTCCCAGGGGCAGGGACTCTGCACTCTGAAGGGCATGAGGCTGGAGGGAGAGGGGACAGGACGGCACGGGGGAAGGAGGCAGCGGCCATTGGTCAGGGAGGTGGGGGCAGCAGGGGAGGGCTCTGGGAGGGTTTCCTGGGGGCTGGGGGGTTGGGAGGGCTCGGACCGCCCAGGTCTCCCCTTTAGGCCCCCTAGCAGCGTGCGGACTGGGCTGGTGCTGGGAGGGTGCCAGGAACGGCTCCTGCCCGATAAAAATAGATTTCTCTGAAGGGCTTGGGGCCGTGCCAGGAGAGCAGGTGCCCCCCAGGCCGCCCGGGTGGGTGCCCCTGCGAGGGGGGATAGGGCTGTGGGGCCCAGGTTTGCAGCTTGAGCATTAGGGTGGGTTCTGGGTCCTGGGCACAGGATCCCTGAGCCCGAGGGGATGGTCACTGGAACGAGGGAGGAGGAGGCTGGTGGGTGGAGCTGTCTCATCTGCCTGGAGGCCCTGCCGCCCAGAGGCCATGGCCATGGCCACAGCCACGGCAGGCCCAGATGAGCACTGGAGGGGTGCTGGCCAGGGGCCCCGCGGAGTTGGCTGCTGATTGCAGGGCCAGGCGGGCTGTCTGGGCACTGGGCTGGGCTCAGAGCAGGCTTCCCAGCCAGGCCCGGCCTCCTGGGACCCGTGTTCCAGGGGTCTTCCCTCCCGGCCCCCCATTTTTCTTTCTTCCTTCCTTCCTTTCTTTCTTTCTTTCTTTTTTTTTCTTTCTTTCTTTTTCTTTCTTTCTTCCTTCCTTCCTCCCTTCCTCCCTCCTTCCTCCTTCCTTCCTTTCTCTCTCTCTCTCTCTCTCTCTCTCTCTCTCTCTCTCTCTCTCTCTCTCTCTCTTTCTTTCTTTCTTCCTTTCTTTCTTTTGTATCCACCATCCCTCACCTAAATCCAAACTTCTGCAAGGGTGGATTTTTAAAATATATATATTTTATTACTTTTCCACAAAGAGAAAGGGAGAGGGATAGAGAGCTAGAAACGTCGATGAGAGAGAAACATCGACCAGCTGCCTCCTGCACACCCCATACTGGGGGTGTGCCTGCAACCAATGTACATGCCCTTGACCGGAATCGAACCTGGGACCTTTCAGTCCGCAGACCGACGCTCTATCCACTGAGCCAAACCGGTTTCGGCTGGGCCCCCGTTTCTGAGGGCCTCTGGGCTGGCCGGGCAGGTAGGGTGCGGACCATCACCTCAGTGCGCTCGCTCTTGGGGCTCCTGTCCCAGGAGCACTTGCATGGGGGAGCCACGCCAGGACCCCCGGGGACGGTTTTGCTGGGAAAATCCTGGCGGGGCTCCCGAGAGGGGCGTCTTGACTGAGCCCTGGAGGACAAGCAGATGTGGAGACCCCACCCGGCTCACGCCTTCCTGTGGGCCTGTGCGTGGCCCAGCACCTCCCTTCCTCCACTCCCCGCAGAGGTCGGGGAGGGACGGCTGTGGAGCACACAGCAGGTGCTCAGGCGGCCGCGGGGTCCTCAGCGTGCGGCCGGAGCCGAGCAGGTGGGCCTCAGGGCAGGCAGGCAGAGCCTCGTCCTGGGGCGTCAGCCTGGTTACCCCGGGGCCAGGGGCAGCCTCTGTGCACCTTCCGCGCCCGGCGGGCATGGCTGGCGCAGTAGTTGGGCATCAACTTAGGAACCAGGAGGTCACGGCTGGATGCCCGCTCAGAGTGCGGGCTCCATCCCTAGTGTGGGGTCTGCGGGAGCAGCCGATCCATGCCCCCCCCCTTCTTTTCTGACATCAATCAAAATATATTTAAAACAACAAATAAACAAGAAAACGCTGGTCTGTGCTAAGGGCCCCCAGGAGCCACGCTTCCCCCCTCCCCCTCCGGCTTCCCCCCCCCACCATCCCTCCGCCCCTCTGATCTCCCCCCGCCCCCCTGATCTCCCCAGGCCCCGGGATTCCCCTGCCCCCCGGATCCCCCCAGGCCCCCTGATCCCCCCAGGGCCCCCCGGATTCCCCCTGGCCCCCTGATCCCCCCAGTCCCCCCCAGGATTCCCCTCGCCCCCCTGCTCCCCCCAGGCTCCCCTGATCCCCCCAGTCCCCCGGATTCCCCTCGCCCCCCTGATCTCCCCAGGCCCCGGGATTCCCCCGCCCACCGGATCCCCCCAGGCCCCCCTGATCTCCCCAGGCCCCAGGATTCCCCTGCCCCCCCGGATCCCCCCAGGCCCCCCTGATCTCCCCAGGCCCCGGGATTCCCCCGCCCACCGGATCCCCCAGGCCCCCCCCCCAGGATTCCCCTCGCCCCCCCCCCGGATTCCCCCCGCCCCCCCCCCAGGATTCCCCTCGCCCCCCTGATCCCCCAGGCCGCCCTGATCCCCCCAGGCCCCCCTGATCCCCCCAGGCCCCCCTGATCTCCCCAGGCCCTGGGATTCCCTTGCCCCCCTGACTCCCCCAGGCCCCCCTGATCCCCCAGGCCCCCCTGATCCCCCCAGGCCCCCCTGGTCCCCCCAGGCCCCCCTGATCCCCCAGGTCCCCCCAGGCCCCCCTGATCCCCCAGGTCCCCCTGGTCCCCCCAGGCCCCCCTGATTCCCCCGGATCCCCCGCCCCGGACTCCCCAGCCGGCTGTGGACCGCTCTGGGAGCCCAGGGTCCGGGCGGGCGGAGCGGGAGGCAGGCGCCCCGCCCCCGGCCAGCGCCTCCCTCTGCCCTTGCGCTTCCCCTTCCTCCCGCGCCTCCTCGGCCTCGGCCTTTGTCTGCGGCCGCGGGTATATTTAGGCGGCAGGTGCGGCCGCCGCAGGTCGCCGGCCGGTCAGGCCCCCGCCCACGTGACGCCGGCGCCATAAATAGCGGCCGCGGCGGGTCCGGAGCGGCGCCCGTCCTGCCCCGCGCCCGCCGGCCGCTCCGTCCGGCCGCCCGGCCGCCCGGCCGCGGATGGAGGCGGCGGGACGCCTGCGCGCTGGGTGAGCGGGGCCGCGGGCGGGGGGCGTGCCGGGAGGACCCCAGCCCCGCCCCGGGGGGCGCCGCCCCGGACCCGGCCTCCGCCCCGCCCCGGGCAGCGCTGCCCGGTCCGGCTCCCGTCCCTGCCTCCTCCCGGGCGCCTGTGCCTGGTCCCCCGGCTCTGGGTCCGAGGGGCTCTGGGCCCAGGGGCGGCCCTCCTCATCGGCTGAGACCAGGGGGACGGAGTCCGGCCCCCATCCCCCTCCGGAAACGGCTGGGAGTTGTGCTTGTCCCTGGACTTGAGCTTGAGGAAACTGGAACTTCTGGTCCCCGGGCCCCCGCCTGCTCCTCTCTGCAGGCGGGACGCTGCTGGGCCCCAACAGGTCTCCAGAGACAGTCCTTCTAGATGGGGGGGGGCCCTCAGGAGGGCATGGGGGGTGTCCGGGAGGGATGGCTCAGGCTCCGGGGGCTGGGGTGGTGGCTGGGGGGCTTGGTCTGCGCTGGGGATCCTGCTCCCTGACCTCAGGGGGCGGTGTGTGCGGGGAGGGCCCTCCCTGGGGTGGCCCTGCGGAGCCCCGGGGCGTCTTCATTGGCTCCCACCTGGGGCTGGGAGCCCCGAGCTTCAGAGACAAATGGGGGGGGGGGGGCCTTGGTCCAACCTCTGCCCAGACCCCCTGCCCTGGCCAGTCTGACTCTGACCCACTGGCCGGTGGCAACTTGAGGCTCAAGTGGGCAGGAATGTGGGTGGCTCTGCCCTGGGTCCCGGGCAGCAGAGCCAGCCTACCGCTGCCACCCACAGGGTCTCCCAGGTGCCCAGCCACGCGGGCAGGAGGTGGTGGTCGGCCCCTCAGAGAAAGGCCTGGAGGCCAGTGGCTTCCCTGGGCCCTTCTCCATGCTAGTAAACACACATGCACACGCGCACACACACGCACACGCACACACACATGCACACGGGACCTCCGCTGCCCCAGGAGGCACAGGTGTTTGTTCGCTGATCGTTCTGGCGTCCACAGCTGTCTCTCCTGGGCTGCGGGATGCAGGCGGTACGGCCGAGCCAGGGCAGGGTTCCTCTCTGCCTTCCTCCCCCTCCTGGGGCACCACACCCCTGCTTAACCCTCCTGGGTATGCCCCTGGGGTCCCCACAGGGGGCAGCATCTGCTCTGAGCCCAGGAGCCCAGCAGAGCTGGCCCAGAACATCCCGGGTCTCAGGCTGTGGGCCCTCCCTGCACCTAGCGGGCAGCCGGAGAAGGGGGTGCAGGGGCGAGGGCAGAGGTAAGAGGTGGTGAGTTGGGGCACGGAGACCAATGAGCTGGGGGAGCGGCTAGGAGCGCAGGCATAGCGCCCGGGTCACAGCGGAGGGGCCTTAGGGGCATCCTGTTTGGCCTCTCATTGTGCAGATGGGGAAACCGAGGCAGGGGCATACCCAAGGCCCTCGGCCCACATGTGGGGTGTGAGTGGGGCTGCTGCTGTGGGTGGGGCCCCGAGAGGGGGAGACGGGGTGCAGGGACTGATGGCGCCTGTGGTCCGGCAGTGACCCTGCTCCTGGCCACCTGTGCTGTCGCCACCTGGGCATGTGCCTGAGGGCACCCGCTGGCTGCGCTCTGGGCTCCCGGAGGGCAGAGCCGGCTTGTTTACTCGGTGCCCGCCAGCCCTGTGGGCACAGCAGCTGGGCAGAGACATTTGCGGTGGTTGGTGCTGAGTGGGGTCTCCTTCCCCTCCCTCAAGGGGTCCCAGTGCCTCCGGCTGACCTGTCCCTGAGGACCGGCCGCCCCAGAATCATCTGGCTCAGGAGTGCCACAGCGGGCAGGGGCCTGTCCTGGGTGTGAGAGGGACCCTGACCCCCTCTTCCCCCTCCCTCCCTCCCTCACTCCCTCCCTCCCTCTCTCCCTCTCTGCTCTGTCCAGGGGCTTCCTGTCCCCTCAGGGCCTGGCTCAGCCTGGCAGGGGCTGTCCTTTCTGTGCTGCACTCGGGGCCGGGATGGGGGGAGGCGGGGGAGCGGCCGACACCCCCTCAGGAGGCAGGGGGCCGTGGCCTCTGTCTCATTCCTCCTTCCCTCTGTCCGCAGACATCGCCCGCCGACCGGCCTGGGCTCCATGGAGAGGACCGGGAGGGGCAGCTCTGAGCTCTGCCGGGTCCAGCATCGCGGTGCCCGCTGCTGAGGGGCCCCGCGCCTCTGGCCCCCACCATTGCCCTCGCCCGCCGATGGCGCCCGCCTGAGCTGCCCGCGCCCTGCCAGGCCTCGCCGAGCCCCCATGGGGTAGCGTGACGGAGGACTGAGCTCCGAGCTGCCGCCTGCGCCCCCGCCAAGCAGGCCTGCTGGTTCTGCTCCAGTCCGGCTTCCTCCGGTCCCTGGGGCTCGGGGCCCGCCTTTGAGAGAAGGGGGTTGGCCACCGTCCACAGATGCCGGGACCACGTCCCCAGCCACGGGCACCGCGCCGGACACGGACCCCGCAGCCAGACTGACTCGGGCTTTCTGCCGTTTTCTTGGCTGAGTTTCGGTTGACATTTCTCTCTGCCCTTTTGTAATGACCCGTCTCTGAGGCGGGAGGGCGGGGGCTGGGTCTGCTTTTCCTTTTTTAAAGAGCTGCGTTTTGTATTCTAAGTACCCCGCGTCCTGCCCGCTCCCAGGTATCTGCACAATATTTGTGCGGGGCGCGGGGCAGGTTTTGTAAAGCACAGGGATCCGTTCTCGGGGGTGGGGGGCTGGGGGCTCCTCCGGTCGTGTCCCGCACTGCCATGGCCCGCATGAACCGGCCGGCCCCCGTGGAGGTGAGCTACAAGAACATGCGGTTCCTCATCACGCACAACCCCACCAACGCCACCCTCAGCACCTTCATCGAGGTGAGCGCCGCCCGCCACCGTCCTCGGCCTCCGGGGACCGCTGTGTCCCTGTCAGCCCAGTGTTAACAGGATCCCCAAAGGGGGGCTCCCCGGGAGCTCGGGGTGGGGGCTCCTGGGGCCGGCGGGTGGGCAGGGGGACTCCAGCTGCTGAACCAGGCTCAGAAGTGGGGGAGCAGCCTGCGCCCTTGGCTGGCCTTTGGCTTCTGTAGAGGCTGAGCTGGGAGGAGGAGGGAGGCCCCCAGATGAGCCGCGGCCCTGACAGCCTTGAGTCAGGCAGGGGTGGGGTGACGTGGAGGCCGGTGTCAGGGCCCGGCAGGCCCCCGGGCGCCCAGGCTCTGGTGAGGCCTCGGTGAGGCGCTGGGCGGGGCCTCCTGGCGCTGCTGTGTGTGGGTGAGGCTGGGCCGCAGCCCACTCCGAGGGCAGGCAGGCGACGGGGGTTGGAGCCCCAGCAGATGTGGCCACATGTGGCTGCAGAGCCTCCGTCCCTCACAGCCGCCCTGGAGAAGCCCTGAGCTCCCAGGGCCCGGCTGTGCTGCCTCTTCCCTCTGCAGCGGGCGCTGGTCCTCCCTGCACAGGGACTGGGCCTGCAGGGAGCGTGGGCATCGAGTGGGGAGGCCGTGGGCGCCCTGGACATGGGCCGGGGGCCCCTCAGAGGGCTGTCCCCTCAGGCCCTTGTGATAATAGGACCCAGGAGGAGACTGGGCACAGCCCTCAGCCTGTGGTCAGGGTCAGCGCGCACGTGTGACCAGGGTCACGGCTCAGTGTGACCGGGGTCAGGGTCAGTGTGACCAGGGTCAGGGTCAGTGTGACCAGGGTCAGGGCTCAGAGTGAGGCCAGGGTCAAGGGTCAGTCTGTGTTGAGGGTCAAGGGTCAGTGTGAGGCTCGGGGTCCAGGCTTTGGCCTGTTGGGGGGCAGCACCCTCTGCTGCAGGCACAGGGACCCAGGCGCCCATGGCCTCCGAGCCTGCACCCTCCTGCTCTGACTGCTCAGCCGTGCGGGGCCCTGCCCTCGCTGTGCCCAGTGTCCCTGTCGCATGACGAGCCTGTCCAGCAGCTGATGCCTCACCGCCCCCAAAATAGCTGCTGGAGCAGGTGGGGTGGAGCCGCCCCTGCGGCCGGCAGAGGGGATGGCTCCCCGGGTATAAATATCCCGGGCTGGGTGCGAACTGCCCTGACCTTTCCCAGGCTTCCCCGCTGGGGTGCAGACCCAGCTTCCCCTGCCCCCTCTCAGCCCACTGTGCCCGCCGTGCTGCCCCGGTGCCCTGCTCCCAGAGTCTGCCCCTCCCAGGCTCTCGGCCCCAGTGTGGGGTCTGGATGTGCCCCTTGACGGGCCATCCGAGCCCCCGGCTGGGAGGGCCGCCCAGTGAGGGGTCTTGGGGGCCCCCACGTGGCTGGGGGTGCCCCGTCCCTGGTCTTCCTGGGCCCTGCGCCCGGCAGAGGAAGCCACAGGCGGGAGGCTGCTCTCCAGGAGCCCGGGCGGGGCGCCTCCTGCTGGCGGCCAGGGGCCAGGGCGCAGTGGCCGGGGCATCGGGAGTCACGAAGCCCAAAGGCCACCCCTGGGGTTTGCGTGGCTCCTGGCCTATCTGTATTGCTGAGCGGGGTGAGGAGGGACCGGGGGGCAGGCACGGCCCTCCCCCGGGCCCTGCCTCTCGTGGTGGTGGTGGTGGTGGGGGCTTCCACCCCTGAGCCCTGCAGCCCGCCCAGCCCTGCCTCCCCCCTCCCCGCAGGACCTGAAGAAGTACGGGGCCACCACCGTGGTGCGCGTGTGCGAGGTGACCTACGACAAGGCCCTGCTGGAGAAGGACGGCATCACCGTGGTGGTGAGCTCGCCCCGTGGTGCCCGAGGGTCCCTGTCCGGGGGCGCGGCTCCCTGTCTGGGGCGGGGCTCTCGGTGGCCGGACAGCGCTGTGAGGCAGGCACCGGTCTCCCTGCCTGCCGCCCGCCGCCCCGTGTGGTTGTGCCCGGGCCACGTGTGTTAGGACATGTCTCAGGGAGGCCCAGGCCTCGGGCTGTGTGACCTCAAAGGAGTCACCTCCCCTCTGCATCCTCTGCCTCCTGCCCCGCCAGGCCGCCTGTGTGCGGGCCTGTGTGCGGGGCCTGTGTGCGGGGCCTGTGTGCGGGCCTGTGTGGGGGCCTGTGTGGGGGCCTGTGTGGGGGGCCTGTGTGCGGGGCCTGTGTGCGGGCCTGTGTGGGGGCCTGTGTGGGGGCCTGTGTGCGGGCCTGTGTGCGGGGCCTGTGTGCGGGCCTGTGTGGGGGCCTGTGTGCGGGCCTGTGTGCGGGGCCTGTGTGGGGGGCCTGTGTGCGGGCCTGTGTGCGGGCCTGTGTGCGGGCCTGTGTGCGGGCCTGTGTGCGGGGGCCTGTGTGCGGGCCTGTGTGCGGGGCCTGTGTGTGGGGGCCTGTGTGCGGGCCTGTGTGGGGGCCTGTGTGGGGGCCTGTGTGCGGGCCTGTGTGCGGGCCTGTGTGCGGCCTGTGTGGGGGCCTGTGTGGGGCCTGTGTGCGGGCCTGTGTGCGGGGCCTGTGTGCGGGCCTGTTGTGGGGGCCTGTGTGGGGGCCGGTGTGGGGGCCTGTGTGCGGGGCCTTGTGTGGGGCCTGTGTGGGGGCCTGTGTGCGGGCCTGTGTGGGGGCCTGTGTGGGGGCCTGTGTGGGGGCCTGTGTGCGGGCCTGTGTGCGGGGCCTGTTGTGGGGGCCTGTGTGTGGGCCTGTGTCGGGCCTGTGTGCGGGCCTGTGTGGGGGGCCTTGTGGGGGCCTGTTGTGCGGGCCTGTGTGGGGGCCTGTGTGCGGGGCCTGTGTGCGGGCCTGTGTTGGGCCTGTGGGGGCCTGTGTGCGGGCCTGTGTGGGGGCCTGTGTGGGGCCTGTGTGCGGGCCTGTGTGGGCGGGGCCTGTGTGGGGGCCTGTGTGCGGGCCTGTGTGCGGGCCTGTGTGCGGGGCCTGTGTGCGGGGCCTGTGTGCGGGCCTGTGTGCGGGCCTGTGTGCGGGGCCTGTGTGCGGGCCTGTGTGGGGGCCTGTGTGCGGGCCTGTGTGCGGGCCTGTGTGGGGGCCTGTGTGCGGGCCTGTGTGCGGGCCTGTGTCCGGGCCTGTGTGGGGGCCTGTGTGCGGGCCTGTGTGCGGGCCTGTGTCCGGGCCTGTGTGGGGGCCTGTGTGCGGGCCTGTGTGGGGGTCTGTGTGGGGGCCTGTGTGGGGGCCTGTGTGCGGGCCTGTTGCTGGGCAGCGGGAGCAGCAGGAGGCGGGGCAGGCGCACCTGGCAGGGCCCAGAGCCCCACTGGGAGGCCATGGAGAGGGAGCTTGGGCTGTTTTCTTGGTCCCTGGCCCTGGGGACCCCATCCCCGCAGAGGGCGGAGGCTGTGCCAGGGCTGCCTGACGTGGCTGGAGGCACAAAGGGTGCCCAGCAGGCCCCGCCCCGCCCCTCCGTGCCTGGGGACCCTCAGGGGGTGCTGGCCACGGACGACCGTCTTGGGCGGTGGTCACCTGGGAACCTCTGCTTGGTGACGGGGGCAGAGGATCTGGAGCTTCGGGGTCCCATGGCCAGGCTGAGTCCCGCCTCTGCCCTTCCCAGTGTGCAGTTCCGGGTCCCCCCTGTGCAGTGTGGGCGCCCGGCAGGATGGAGGCAGGCGTGCAGGGCCTCCTGGCACTGGGACCCGTGGCCCCTTTTCCCCGAAGCAGCAGGACTCGGGGTAGACCAGGCAGCCAGGCAGGCGGGTCTGGGGGCGGGGGACAGACAGGCCCGGGAGCCCCCCCCCCCACCGCAGGGTCCTCAGGCTCCCCCCTCTGCAGGACTGGCCCTTTGACGACGGGGCGCCCCCGCCTGGCAAGGTGGTGGAGGACTGGCTGAGCCTGCTGAAGGCCAAGTTCTGCGACGACCCTGGCAGCTGTGTGGCCGTGCACTGCGTGGCCGGCCTGGGACGGTGAGCCGGGGCAGGGGCGCGTGGACACAGGGATCTCGTGGTCTGACTCGCTCACATCACAGATGACCCTTCCAGAGGGTCCCCAGGCTGGGCCTCCGGCTCGCAGGCGGGAAGTCCCTCCTGAAGTCTGACCCCACTCCCTCCTGCTGTGGTGGCGGCTTCGCCTGAGCCTCGGGCCCCACCCTCCGCGGACACACAGAGTCTGCGTCCGCGTGAGACAGCCCCGCTTTGCAGAGGGCAGACGGGCGAGCGAGGCGGACCGCTGAGAATCCCGCTCTTGTCCTCGGCCCGCACAGAGAGGTTGCCTGGCCGGGAGGAAGCAGGGTTTGGGCCCAGGTGGTGGCCCTGAGCTGCGAGCGGGGCAGCCATCCGCGGAGGGCCGCGGGGGCCTGCTCTGCAGCCGGTGGCCTTGGGCAGGGGCAGGGCCTGGGTGACGGGCCGTGTCTGCCCCCAGGGCCCCGGTCCTCGTGGCACTGGCGCTCATCGAGAGCGGGATGAAGTACGAGGACGCCATCCAGTTCATCCGGCAGTGAGTGTGGCTGCGGGGGGGGGGGGGGGGGGGGCGGTTGGTGACAGCTCAGGGTTCAGGTTTAAGGGGCTCCCCAGCTTCATGCAGCCTCATATTGTGGTTCCCTTCCCCCCTCTCCCCTCCCCTTGGGCAGAAGTCTGGGGAGGGGAGGTGGAGGGGAGGCCCCTGTAGTCAGGACAGGCTGGGCCGAGCTGCAGTACCGAGCAGCCCCCAGCCCCAGCCCCGGCCCCTGGGAACCACACGGTGTCCCCGCTCATGAGACCTGTCTGGCTGCTAGTCGCCGGGCACATGTGTGTCTCTTCCACTCACGTGTCATTGGCCAGAGCCAGTCCACGGCACGTGGGGGTCCTCCCGCCCGGGAGCAGATTTGAGCTTTGTTCTCAGGCGCCCATGGCCTGGGGGCGGGCTGCCACCTGGGTAGACATGGGGTTCGTGGGTGTGGGGGCCGTAGAGGTAGGGAGGTCCAGGCCGCCGGGAGGAGGCGAGGGCCAGGGTTGAAGGCAGTGTGTGTGGGGGGGAGGGGTGGCAGGTGCCTAGGAGGGCGATCTGGGTGGTGGCCTGGACTCCTGGCCTGGCACTGCCTGGGGCCGGGCAGGGGGCCGAGGCAGGTCCCCCCTGACCCCACCCTGTCCGTCTCCCCAGGAAGCGGCGCGGAGCCATCAACAGCAAGCAGCTCACCTACCTGGAGAAGTACCGGCCGAAGCAGAGGCTGCGGTTCCGGGAGCCGCACGCGCCCCGGACCAAGTGCTGCGTCATGTAGCCCAGCCGGGCCCACTGCCCTGCCCCACTGCCCTGTCCCCTCTCTGGGCCTCAGTCTCCACGCCCCCACCCCCAGGAGGGCCAGCCTGGTCCTGGGACTCACGTGGTGACTGTCCCGCACCCCCAGGGCATCGCCCTCACAGTGGGGCTGAGACGGTCCGCCACCTGGACCTCGTGTGGGCCACCCCAGGCCGCTCCGGCGCCCCCCTCCCCGCACCTCCATCCAGCCTTTCTCCCGGCACCTGGGGTGCCTGCCTCCCGGGTCAGCCCGCCTGAGCCTGCCTACCTGCCATCTGTCTCCGTCTGCCTCCCTGTGTCCACCGGCCGGCCGCCACAGTCCCATCCATCCCGTCTCCTGCCTCCCTGCTCTGCTTCCCTCTGTGCCGATCTCTGTCTCCGTGTCCCATGTCTGTCTCTGAGGCCTGGTCCAGGGCTATGTTCCCTCCCTGCGCCCCTCCCTGTCCCCCCTTCTGTGGGGGCGGGTGTACTTTTAACCACTGGACTGACCCCTCTGCACCCCCTTGGATTCGTGGGTCTGAGGGCCGTCAGCTGCTCTGGACACTTGAAGGCAATAAAACACGACCCTGTGCTGTGTGTGTGTGTGTGTGTGTGTGTGTGTGTGTGCAGAGTGGGGGGCAGGGCTGCCAAGTGGGGTGCCCTAGGGAGGCCAGTGTCCAGGCTGTACTGGGGCTCCCTCTGGTGGCCATGCTGGGTCCCTGCGCTCCCTAGCTTTCTGCCAGGGCCTCTTGGTTGCCATGGCGATGTTTTGGGGGCTGGAGTTCAGAAGGTGAGGCCAGGCCTGGTGTCCAGTGGGTGGGTGACTGCCCTGCCCACCATTAGCCTTAGAGGACCAGGGGGTGGCGGAGGGGCCCCAGGGCAGGGGGTGACGGGCCCCGTGGGGGAGCAGGTCTGAGCGTGCTGGGCCTGGCCAAGGGGCTGCTCAGCACTCCTGCCTGTGGGTCTTGCAGGCTGGGGCCAGGCCTCCCTGGCTGGGGATGAGGGGCCTGGAGGTCGCGGACACGGCGGGGGGATGAGGGGAGAGCTGGGTGGGGGCTGGGGTGGTCTGCCCCAGGGACCTGCTCCCCGGGGACTGCCATTCACCTCGGGCACCCCCAGAGGTCTTGGCTGACCTCTCCCCGCCCTAGGACCTGCTCTCTGGCGTGGGAGCCCCACCTGCCTCCACTCCCTGCATCCCCTCGGGGCCGCCCTCCGCCCCACCTGCTCCCAGCACCCATGCTCAGCGCCCAGGTCCCCGCTTCTTCCCCTGGGAGGCAGGCACGTGGCGAGGCCCCGGGAGAGACAGCCCCCCAGGGGGCAGGTGCCCCCCACATGGGCCCATTCTGCTTGTCCTCGAAGGGGGGCCCTGGGGCTGCACCTGACGGGGCCCTGGGTGGCGGGCCCACAGGGTCTTGGGCCTGGCCTCTCCAGCCTTGGTGTGCGGCCTGGGCCAGCTGCCCGTGCCCGGCTGGGCAGAGCCCGGCCACTCAGCTAGGCAGGAACCGGGCTCCTCCCCACTGCCAGACTCAGTTTCCCCGAGGGGCTTCTCCATGCACCAGTGGCTCCTGGGACCCCATCCGGGGCAGGCCCACCAGCTCCTGCCAGGGACCCTGGCTTTCTGGGGGGACAGTGACAATGGCACCCCCGCCCAGACCACACCCGCCAGGCTGGACCCTCCGCCCCAGCCCCTCGGCCCCGCAGGAGTGCCCCGCAGCCACACCAGGGCTGGAGAGGGCGGGGGCAAGGCGGGCAGTGAACTGTCAGAGCCGCCGCCCGGCCCTCCTGGGGCTCCACGCGGAGACTGACGGACGGTGAGATGGTGGAAGGGTTCCCTCTGGTCCCCAAATGTGTCTGAGGACACCCCGTCTGAGGACACCCGTCTGAGGTCACCATAAAAGCATGGATCCAGGAAGGCTGCTGTGCTTTTCCCTTGAAGGTCATTTTTATTTTTCAGTGACAGTTGGTGTACAATAGGGTATTAGTTCTGGTTGGATGCCCCAGGGACCAGGCACCTGTAACTTACTACCCTCATCCCCGGCCCCTCCACCCCACCTGAGCCCCAGGCCCAGAATGTTCCTGACCAGGCTCCTGTGAGGGGAGAAGAGGAGGGATGGAGCACAGATGGACAGTTACAGACTCGTCCTGGGAGGAAGCCACCGTATGTAACCCACCATCCAAGCTGGGGCCTCCCCTGGGCCAGCCCCGTGTGGCCACACCCCTGCCCAGGGCCTCCTGTCAGTGGGGGTGGGGGTGGCAGGCAAGGGGTTTGTCTAGCCCAGTGGTTGGCAAACTCATTAGTCAGCAGAGCCAAATATCAACAAGACAACGATTGAAATGTCTTTGGAGAGCCACATTTTTTTAAACTTAAACGTCTTCTAACGCCACTTCTTCAACATAGACTCGCCCAGGCCGTGGTCTTTTGTGGAAGAGCCACATGCAAGGGGCCAAAGAGCCGCATGTGGCTCGCGAGCCGCGGTGTGCCAACCACTGGTCTAGGACATGGTGGGGGCACCCCACCACAGAAGGAGCTGAGGAGAGCGGGGGACAGGGATCAGGCAGGCTGGGCCTCTGAGGATGGGATGGGGGGCCCAGGCGGCTGCGGGGGGAGGTGCTCCCGGTGGAAGGTGTGGAGGGCGGTCAGGTGGGTCTCCAGGGAGTCAGGGCCCTGCCAGGAGGGGACCCCCCCTGGACTCAGCCTCTGAGTGGGGGGCCAGGCCCCACCAGGCAGATCCGCCTCTGGGGACAGTCTGCCTGGCATCCTCATCTCAGGATGGGGGTGAGGGCAGAGGGGGACATCCCCACTCCACTGGGTGACCACGAGGTCCAAGCTGGAGCCCCTCTGCAGACTGTGCGGCCGAGCCCAGGGCCCCTCGGCCGGGGTGTGGGGTGGTGGGAGGAGCTGTCCTTTGAGCTTGTCTCTGGACGACCTGGCCTGCCTGCCCACACCCCGGCCTGGCCTGTCCCCGGCCCCTGGCCCTGGCCCCTGGCCCTGTCAGCATCTCCCGGGCTGGCTTGGGTCCCCTGGGGCCAGGGAGGGTGGGCAGGGAGCTGACAGGCGTGACACGTCTTTGTGGAATCTAGATCTTTCTTTCAAATGAAAAAATGTCTGCTACCACTCTGTGCTGGGCTGGGGGCGGCGGCGGGAGGGAGGGAGGTGGCGGAGGTCACTGCCCTCTGGCTAAGTCTCGGAGGAAGTGGCACTGGCTGATGGCGAATCCCAGGATGCCGGGCTCCCGCTCCCTTTGGAGATTTTCGAAAGCTCGGGAGAGGAGGGCCCGGTCAGAGGTAGCCCGCCCTGTGCAGGGGAGGGGCCCGCTCCCCGGTGGGGTGCGGGTGTGGGTGGCAGGATGAGCCCAGGCCCCACCTCCTCCGCCTTCCAGGCCTGCGGGGCTTCCGTCCCCGACCCCACCCACTTGGGCCGTGGTCGCCCACCGGAGCCAGAGCCTCGGGCGGAGTGGGCGAGGCCCCGTCCCAGGGGGGACCCATCCCAGTGGGCAAGGCCCCGTCCCAGGTGCCGGCAGGGGGCTGCTTACTGCACAGCAGCAGCTTCAGGTCCGCGTTGCTCACCAGCTGGGACACGGCCCGGGAGTGGTAGCAGATGGTGTAACCTGTGCGGGCAGAGGAGGCTTGCTGGCTGGGGAAGGGCTCCCAGGTGGGCAGGCTCCCTGCCTTCCACGGGGTGGGGGCTCAGACCCACTCCTGCCCTTCCAAGGCCCCACCCCCTTTCCTGCTAGTGGGCCCTGGCATCTAGGGGCAGGTGTGTGGCCAGTGCTGGGTGGGAGGGCCAGGGTGCTCAGGTGGTCCAGGGGCAGTGGTGTGGCCAGTGCTGGGTGGGAGGGAGGGCCGGGGTGCTCAGGCGGGGCAGGCCTGCGGGTCCCCAAGCGCGGGCGCCGGGCACCTAGGAAGAGCGCTGCCCAGGTCCGCATGCGGTGGCTGCAGCTGTGCAGGTAGCTGAGGGCCTGCGACAGGTGGATGCTGAACTCCTCCTGGCTCTGCGTCATCTGGCCGGGACAGAGACTGTCACTCGCGGGGCCCAGCTCTCTGCCCCGCCTCCCTACCGTTGCCCCGCCCCCGGCCCCGCCCCCGGCCCCCCAATCCCCACCCGGTCCCTGAACCCCGCTCCGCCCCCGGCCCCGCGCCCGCCCCCGATCCCCAATCCCCACCCGGTCCCTGAACCCCGCTCCGCCCCCGGCCCCGCCCCCGGCCCCCCAATCCCCACCCCGTCCCTCAACCCCGCGCCGCCCCGGCCCCGCGCCCGCCCCCGCCCCCCAATCCCCACCCCGTCCCTCAACCCCGCTCCGCCCCCGGCCCCGCCCCCGGCCCCCCAATCCCCACCCGGTCCCTCAACCCCGCGCCGCCCCGGCCCCGCGCCGCCCCGGCCCCGCGCCGCCCCGGCCCCGCGCGGTGCCCGCATTCCCGCTCCGGCCCCGCCCCCTCACCAGGCGGGACCAGAGGAAGTGGCGCGCGCTGAGGCGGCGCTCCCTGGCCAGCGCGCAGAAGAGCGTGTGCGGCTGCGGCCAGCGCAGCAGCGCCGCGCAGCGGTAGAAGGCGAACCGGGCCCGCTGCGGGGACAGGGGAGCGCTCAGCCGCCGCGGGGTCTGGCCAGAGGGCCGGGCTGAGGCGGGGCCAGAGGGAGCCGCAGGGGGCGCCGTTCCTCCTGGGCTCCCGGCTCCGTCCCCGCCGGCCCGGGTGCCGCCTCCTCCCAGCCGCACCCCCTCCCCCAGCCGCACCCCCTCCCCCAGCCGCGCCCAGCCGGGTCCCTGGGGAAACCAAGGCAGGAGCCACCCTGCTGCCGCGGCGGACCCACCGCTCCGCAGCCCCCGCCCCCTGGGTCCCCAGCCCCGCAGGGAAAGGCCCCCCACAGGCACTGACCGAGGCGACGGCGGGGCAGGGGTCCCGCAGGTGCAGGAGCAGCGGCACGAGGCCCTGGTGCACCTGGGTGCGCAGGCTGCTGGGCTCCCTGCCCGCCATCGCCGCCACCAGGTCCCCGAACAGCGCCATGGCCGCCGCCCGGACCGCGTCCCGCTCCTGCGGGCCAGCGGCGCGGCGTCACGGCCAGACCCGCCCGGGGCCCCCCAACGCCCACCCTGGGCTCCCCTCCCCATGTGGCGCGGGGCTCCGCTCCTCCCGGAGCGGCCCGCGCGGGCCAGCCCGGCCACGTCCTGCAGCCCAGGGGCCACGCGTGCCCGCGGGCGGGCGACCTGCTAACCCGCGGGGCCCGGGCGGCCTCCGGAAGGGGCGCAGCGCTGGAGGCGCAGCGGGGAAGAGGGGCGCGGCGCCCCCTGGCGGCCCCCGGAGCTCCGGCGCCTGCCCTCGGGGATGGGGCCGAAGGGGCGTGCGTGGGTGTCCCGCGCGCTCACTCACGTCCTCGAAGAAGGAGCGGGCGTTGAGGGCGAGCGGGAGGCTGTGCGCGCCCGCGCCGTGCGCCCCCAGGCGGTGCAGCGCGTCGGCCACGGTGCCCATGACCTGCACCACCACCGGCCCGCTGTTCCGGAAGAAGCCCTTGAGGAAGAGCGGCAGCTGGCCGCGCAGCAGGCTGCCCTGCGGGGCGGGGTGGGGGTACCCGCTGACTGCCTGTGCCCCCACCCACCGCCTGT